TCTGATGAGGAAGCAAACGACTGTGTTCCCCCTCATCACAGCCCCGTGCTAGCCCACCCACCGCTGCTGGGTCACCCCTTTCCCCAGGGCAACACTTCTGCAGGCAGCGCCGTGCCAAGCCCCCCTCTGCCGGCCCACGGCACAGCCACAGCCTCGTCTCAGCGAGTGGTCCCATCCTCCTTGGCTGACCAGAGGCTGGGCCACCCTGGAAATGCTTCTCAGATGAAAGTTGCTGAGTAAACTCCAGGGACCGAGGAGATTTGGGCCAAAGAGGATGTGTGGATGCGAGGCTGGCTGCTCCCCCACGGCGCTTTGGTCCGAAGAGAAGTCGAGTCTCTGCGCCGAGCACGGGACTGGCTGCTCTGCCCCTGCCCCAACAAGAGCTGCACGAGTTCTTTATCAAACACACGCCCTGGATTAGAGGGCTTATTTTACTTCTTATATAGTGGCTGAGAGGGCAGTGCTGTGCCCCGGTGCTGATAGTGGATCCTGTGATCGTAGGTGGGGAGGAAGCTTGGGATGAAAGCTGGCAATTCTGCAGCACCACAGCTGTTGGATCAGAGCTGCGTCACTGTCCCCTGGCTCTGGAACATGGGAGCTGTGAGGAAGACAGATTTGCTTTCACACCTGCAAGGCTGTTCCATCCTCTGCTGTCCACAGCTGAGCCCAGGCTGGCAGGAGCAGCAGGGATGAAGGTGCTGGGGCAGCTCGGTCACTGCCTGGGGGCTGGGACCCTCCCCACCTCCAGCCCTGGCTTTTGTGCTCTCTTCGGGGGCATGTGATGAACAGCTTGGTTACATGAGTACCACCCAGGACACCTCCCCGAGCCCCCCGGGACGAGCAGCTCCTGGTCTTGGCATGCCCGTCACGGTCCCGGTGGGGACCCGTGTGCAGCAGAGGCAGCGGTGCCCCCGCAGTGCCCTGGGCACGTGCCTCCCTGTGCCACCGGCACGGCTGGCATCACCCAGCCACATGCCAGGGAGCTTTTTTAGCCTAAGCAGAATAAAACTGCAGTGATTATATTTCCTGCCTCCTGCTCAGGGCGGGAGGGAAATTGTTTGATGCTAATCCCCTTGTTTAATCCACCAGCAACCTGACATGCTAACAGTCGAGATTAACTCCCGGCGGGGAATCATTAGACATGCAGCCGTTGGTCGCGGGGACGGCGGAGCAGAGCAAGACGAGGACGTCCCCGTGCGTTTTGCGGGCTCCCATGCACTCCTGGCAGCGGAGGAGAGGGGAGGTATGAGCAACATGGAGAGAGGGCCTTTGGTTTTCAGGATCGAGTTCCTCCGCGATGAGCAGTTTTCACCAGGCTGGCATTTCCCCTGGTATAGAAAGGGAGGCTCCAGCTGTCCCGAGAAAGGTCACCTCGGGGGCTGACGTGCTCCCGGGCTCTGGCAGAGATACCGTGTGACAGTGAGTTTTTCAGATGTGACCAGGAAGCAAAATTCAGTCCCCAATCTGCCTTGCCCACAATGCCACCGGACTCATCCTGCTCCCCAAGCCCACGTCCCCACGGGGCCAGAGCCACCCCCCAGGTCACAAGCCCCGGCCCCAGGAACCTGAGGTTCAGCCAGGGCATCGCTTTGAGAAAGGTGCCCAGGGACCCTGCTCCAGCCACTCTGCGCCCTCCCTGCTGCAGACCTGCGCCTGATTTTGTGTTTCAAGTTGTCTGACTTTATCTTCAAGCCCTCAGCTCTTATTATTCCCCTCTCAGCTAAGTTAAAGAGCCCTTTAATACCTGGCAGTTTTCTCCCTGGGAAGGTACTTGCACACTGTAATCAAGTCACATCTCAGGCTACTTTTCGATAAGCTAAACAGATTGAGCTCTAAGTCACTGCTTAACATCCAGCCTCAGGAAAGGGCCAATCTGAGGTGCTGCCAAGCAGAGCGGAGCCGGAGTTTTTTCAGCTGGTGCATTGAAAGGTGAATTGTTGCTTTCTGATGCACCGATGATAAATGAAATGGGCTATATAAATTGTAGCATTGGCCTCGCTCTGGGCTGTGAGCACACATGGCTGCCGGAGGCACAAGGGGTGCTGGGAAAGGAGAACACGGGTGCTACTGGGGCTGTGCCCATCCCCACGCCAAACCCTGGCCTGGAAGCCTGTGGGAAGCTCACCTGCAAAAGAGCAGGTGGAAAACACCTTTGCTGCACTTTTGCCAGCAAAACTTGCTGCAGCAGCTGTTTACTGCAGGGCTAATGGTGCCTGTCTCCACTTACAGGCAGGGAGTTATGATGGCCGGGAACATAAGTGCTTTGGGGAGCTGAGATAAGCAAAGATGCTCCGAGCCACAGGCTTAAATCCAGAGGTTATTGACAGGGGCTGTGTCAGGGTGCAAGAACTAGTCCAGCAGCCCTCTCTAATGCCCAGGTATTGACAGGGCAATTGGAGTGATGAAGTGAGGCTTCAGGCTGGTTTAATCACAGGACAAGCCTGCCCAGTGCTGCTCGAAGGGCCAGGTACCTCTGTCACTCTCTGTGGGGGCACGGCCATGCTGTGCTGCAGGGAGCAGGGTGGCACAGGGCAGGGTGCAGCCCCCTCGGGGGACCTTGGCCCTGGGCTGTGCGAGGAGGGGGAGAACAGAGGGTCCCCCCGACCAGGGGTCTGACCATCCCCCCCCAGCAGAAGGACAAGTGGTGCAAAGCAAGGACACTGTGCTGGTGTGTGGGGAGAGCCTGTCGGGAGCGGGCTGGGGCTGGGGACACGCTCAGGCAGCCCCACAACACACAGACCTGGTCAGACATGGACTTCCAGCCTCCCTGAGTCCCTGTGGCTCCGAAGCCACTTTATCAGCACACTCCAGACCTGATCAATGCGGGAGTGATCCAAATGGCTGATCAGAGGGGAGCAGCCACTGCCTCTGCCCCAGGCTGAGGGATGCAGCAAGAGCACACTGGGGGGGGGCGGAGGCTGCCGGTGACAGCCAGGGCAGATTAATGGGGCTCGCAGGGATGTGTATCCCCGCACCCTCATGTGGGCTGGCCCGGCCACAGGCAGCCTGGAGACTCAGCCACACAAGGCCGGCTCTGAAGGATGCCGGCTCTGAAGGACGCCGGACAAGGTCGCAGCACGGATCGCTGCAGCTTGGCTGCTCCCTGCCACGAGGCCCAAGGTGACCGAGCCCCTGGGAAGGAGAAGCCAGATGAGGCTGGCATTAAAGCAGAGGTGCATAGGGAGGAACAAGCAGAGGCTCGATGCAGACCCACTTGCAAAACCCACAGAGTCCCACAGAGCAATGCTGTCCTGGCCCTGTATCCCATGGGGTCAGGTGAACCCCTTCAAAAATGGGCAAGTTCGGATCAATGTTGCAGAAAATCTGGTTTTGGGCACCAAAGTGGACAACGAGATCCATCTAGGCTGGTAGGAGGTTGTACCACCCAGTGCACCCATCAGGTTAACTCACAGCCTGGATTCTCCAAGCACAAACCAGGGCAATTTGAGCTTAGCAAAAGGATCTGGGGTCCCTGCAGGAGGGATTCCGCCTGGGGAGAGGTAGGAGAGGCCATCCCGGCCCACAGAGAGCTACAAATAACTCGAACGGCCTCATTACCCAGTTTCTGATGAACAGGAGTTCGGTTTCATGTTTCCCCCGGGGCTAACTCCACCTGAAACTGGGCTATGCCTCATTACGGCAGAAGCCGCTGCCTTCAAAGTCAGGCAGGAGCAGCACGCTGGCTCCGAACGCGCGGCCTCGCTGGAGAGAAACGCCGGCAGCGGCCCCGGTGGTCGCAGCGCCCGGTACCGCGCTCCCGGGGGGGGCTGTCCCGGGGCGGGGGGGGCGGGTTTTGGATAGAGATCACGCTCAGGCATCCAGGCGCCCCTGCCTGCCCCTGCCTGCGCCTGCAGCCACCGGTGCCCGGGGGAGAAGCCGCCCCTCGCCCACCGCGGGAGCTCCTTGTTGCCGGCAGGACCGGGCTGGGAGCACGGACAGACCGCGGCTCCCAGCGCTACCGCATCCCCCCGCCGCCCCCGTGTCCCCCACACACACACTCCGGGGCACCCGGAGCGCCCCGTAACCCGCCGAGCAACCGCGCTGCTTACCGGAGCGGGAGGTCCCCGGGCCGGCACCGGCACGCGTGGCCGGATCCCGCGGGGAAGGGCCACGCACGGAGCGGCGGGTACGAGCGCCGCAGCCTCCCGGCCACCGGCCGGGCACCGGCTGAGCATCCTCCCGCCGGCGGGGGGGACCCCCCCGTGGGCCCCCCCGCCCCCCCGCGACCCCCTCCTCCCACGGCCGGGCCGAGCCGGGGCTTCCCTCTAGCGACCGTCGGCGGGAGAGCACGCCGGGGGGGGCCGCGGGATCCGGGGCTGCAGCATCCCGGGACCCCGAGCGCCCGGCACCGAACCCCCCCCGCGCCCCGAGGCCGGCCCGGCTCCTACCTCCAGCCCCGCGGCTCCCTCAACCTCCCCGGCTGGGAAGCAAGGGGCCCGGCCAGCCTGGCTTCCCCGGGGCGGCCCCAGCTGAGCCCGCGGAGCCCCGCGGGGACACCCGGGGCTGCCGGGGCCGGGGCACACAGCCCCTTCCCCGAGCCCGGGCACCGGGGCCGGGTGACTCCAGACGCTCCGGTTCAGCCTCAGCAGCCTTTTCATTTCTGCCAGAAGGTCAAATCCACCCGCAGCTCCGGCCGCGTTCCTGCGGGGCTGAGCTGCCCTGGAGGGGCTGAGACTCGTTCTGGGCCATGGGAAGGTTTGGTCGCGGGTGGGTGGGTGGGTGAGGGGGGTTGCTCGGGCCAGTGTCTGCGGGGAGGGGTAGGACTGGGGCAGCCCCACGCATGCAACTCCAGGCACTCGCAGGTGCCTCCCTGGGGACCCCTGCCCTGCTGGCGTGGTGGGATCTGGCTCTCCAGCAGGTGATGGGGTGGTCTGGCTCTGGTGCGAGGGCTGTCCCGCATCGAACATGCCTGCACGCAGTGAGCTCTCGCAATGAATGAAACTGCCAATGCTTCCCTCATTCCCAGCGCACACACATGTTTTTAACGGAGGACCATCGAATTCGCAAAGCAGACCGGACGCTGCCAGATAAACGCTGGGCCGTGTCCTGGGCCCATGTGAAATGGCTGGTTCTTCTGGCAGGGTCACGGTGACAGCCCTCCGAGCCTGGCAGTGCTGGGGGGCAGGAGGGGAAGGCAGTGGCACAGGGAGCAGCTGCCAGCAGGCAGGGAAGCGTTCATGTATTTTCCCATCCCAGTGTCTCGTCCTTTCTGCATGGGTGCAGCAAAGCCTCCTCCTGCAGTTGCAGGCTCTAGCAAGGGATGTGCTGCAGTGACTCAGTCCAGCAAGGAAAAAAGGAGCAAGCTGTGGCTCTCTGCACAGGCCTGGAGGTAGGGTCCCATGCCAAGGGCAACAGAAAGGGTCCCACTGCCCCAGGAGATGGCCTGGGAATAGTCCTCTTCTGAGCAGAGCCCATGCTAGAAGGACTGGCCATGGGTGTTGGAGCAGTACTCCAGGTAGTCAAACTCCTCGACAGGGAATGTCACGGCACTCCATTTCTTGTACCTCCTCTTCTCAGCCGGTGTCTCCACCACAAAGTTTTTGATGCAGAGGATGGGCAGCTTCACCTGTCGGTAGATCATCTCCATTCCCCAGTCCTGTGTGGGCAGGGAGGGGACAGTCATGCAGACCGCAGAGCAGCATCCCCAGGCTGCAGGGCCACACACACCTGGGACGGAGGCAGCTCCTTGCTCCCAGGATACGTCCCGCTTGGAGACAGCTGCACGTGTCCATGTCCCACATGCGCAGCGCGCACATCACATGGGCATGTACCGAAGGGAGATACAGCTCCATTCCTCAGCCGGGAGCTGGGGCACAAGGCACGGTCCCTCCAGCTCTGACTGGGCTGCAGTCACGAGGGGATTGCCGCGTGTCCCACTCACCTGGCTGCACTCACTGCACATGATGCGGCAGCCGGGCTCCCAGTCCTTGAAAGTCCGCTGGAACTGTATTTTCCCAGAAACTCTGTAGTACACCCTGCAAGGAAGGGGCCAAAAGACACTCTAAGGACAATGGTCCAGGGGACAGAAACAGGGCAGCACATGTGCTCCCATAGTCACACAGTCCCACAAAGCCCCTGCGACCTCCCCGGACTGGTGTCCCCAAGAAACAGCTGGCAGCAGGCTGCTGCCACCCCCTGCCCATCCTGGGTGGAGAGTGCAGCAGCTTATGCAAGTGACGCCTGACAGCTGGGTTCTACCTGAAGTTGGGGTTGATGTTAACGTGGTGCATGCCCTCCACAGTGCGGATGTCGCTGCCACGGCACACCGCCACGTTGCAGTTGACGCAGTAGAGGTACACATCGTCCGGGTCGTGCAGCTGCCGCCTCTCTCTGATCCTGGACTCCTTCATTAGCCAGCTGGCAACGGCAACTTCCTGCAGGTCCCTGATCTGCAGAAGGCAGTGGGAGGCAGGACAGTGGGGAGGACAGGAGACAGCACAGGGCTACGGGCACAGACAGATAGCAGACATGGCAAGACACATGGCTGGAGAGAGATGTGCTGTCCTAGAGAGCGCAAGCTGCACGGCAGGGTGGGCAGGGCAGGATGGGCAGGACGGGATGGGCACGCACTGCCCTGGGCACCTGATGCCTCCCCTACACAGGAGCCGGTGCTGCCCCAAAGGGAGAGCAGGTAGCCAAAACCAGGGCACAGGCAGAAGCTGCCTGGCCCTCCTGGTGCTCAGGGCGGGGCCCGGTGCTCACCTTGAGGCTGTACTCCTGCTCAGGCATGGCCTGCACTGCTCTGATCGCCCTCTCCATGAGCTCCACAAGGTTCTCATTGAGCAGCTCACGAGAGACCTCTCTGCTGTTGGCTTTGGCAAGGACGGAGTAGACACTGTCTTCGGCACGGGCACGGCCCCGGGCCTGCAGTGGAAGGGCCAAATACTGCGGTCAGCAGAGGAGGGCTGTGGCTGACCCCTCCTGCCCCCCCACACCACCTCACAAGGATGGATCCACCCTCCACACCCCACTGCGCCTCGCCAAGGAGATGCCCTGCCAGCGGCTGGGCTCATCCCCAGGGAGCTGCCAGCGGGCGTGGGATGTGAGAGCCCGCCGTGTCCCACGCCCGTGGCTTTGGGGCATTCCAGCAGGCTGCCCCCCCCCGGAGCCAGGAAGAGCATCTGGAGGGAGCCCAGGCAGCTACCTGCACCATGGCGATCTCGTTGGTCATCAGCCCATAACGGACCACAATGTTACACTCGGGGATATCCAGGCCCTCCTCAGCCACGCTGGTGGAGAAGAGCAGGTTGAGGGCTCCCTCGCGGAACAGCTTGATCACGTCCTGCTGCTCGTTCTGAGGGAAGAGGGGGTGATGCTTCAGCAGCTGCGTAGGGCCCTGAGCCCCTGGCAGCGCCCGCAGCACCCACAAAGTGCGTAGGGAGGGATAGGTCCAGCTCCTTCCCACCCTCCGCTCACCTGCGTCATGTGCTTGGTCTGGTTGCTGTAGCCAGCACCAGTGAGGACGGCGGCCCTGATGTGCTGGCCACAGAGCGTGGCCGTGTCCTGCAGCCAGCTGAGCAGGCTGTGGGCACTCTGCCGAGTCTTGGTGAAGACGATGCCACGAGCGGTGCCTGGGGGCTGGAAGCGCTCCTGCAGGATCTCCTCCAGTTTGCCCAGCCTGGGGTTCTCGTAGCGCCGGTCCCTGGCAAGCGCCTGCAAGCTCATCCTGTTTTCTGTGCAGGCAAACAGGGCGTCAAGGGGGACCCCCTGCCCCCCAAATGCTGCCAGCGCTAACCCCCCCTCCAGGCCTCTCCGTTACCCTCAAACGTGGTGGTGAGGAACCGTTCGGTGGGGTCCTTTGTGTCCCTCTCAGCAGTGTAGAACTCCTGGAGGCACTGGAAGGCGTCGATCATCCGCACCGTGTCGTTGATCAGCAATGCGTCATTGTACTTGCGCAGGTGCACTGCGCACACCCGCATCTTGCGACAAAACGTCTCTGCCGCTGGCAAGGTGGCAGAGCGTGCCGTGGTCACGGCCTGGCCCCACAGCTGCCGGCTCTGCCCCGCCGCACCCGCACCACCGCCTCCTCACCTCTCTTCTCCAGCTCCATAATGCGCTGCTCGTAAATCTGCGTGCCGAAGTCCTGTGGCAGGCCAGGCATCTCCATGTACTGCTGGATCTGCTCCATCATCTTCTTCAGCTGCTCGCCAAAGGGGTCCTGGGAGCAGAGAGGGGCTCAGGACCTGAGGAATCAGGTACATTGCTCCGGACAGCCTCGAAGGTGCAGCCCAGAGCGCCTGGCCTGGGATTAGGGGATGTTTGCACGGCAGGACCCAGACGGTTGCAGGATCCCCCTGCACCAAGGCTCTGGATCAGCCAGTTCCTCATGCTGGCCTGAGCTAAGCGGGTGGAGGGACACAGCCTGCCGGCTCAGCAGGGCTCGGGGGTCTGGTCTGCCACCCAGCGAGCAGCCCTGTGGCTCCAACGAGCTGCCCCTCACCTGCTCTCTCTCCTGGCACAGGTCGTACTGCTTCCTGGGCTGGGGGACGTGGCTCTGCAGGTGCTGCACCTCCTCCTGCGCCGACATGATTTTCTCGGTGTCCAGGTTGGCACAGATCTGAGAGGGCGAGACCCCGCTTCCAGCCCTAAGCCTAGCAGCCCCGATGGGTTTGGGGATGTCTGCCCCAGGCCGCCCAGCTGCCCAGCACCTGCACACCAGGTTATCAATGCCCACACCAAGGGACGTCCCACTACACCCCAGGGGAAGCTGTGCCCGGGGCCATTGCACTGTCTCGGCACAGGATGGGGGGCACAGGACCCACCTGAAGGATGTGCTCTACGGCTCCCTCGAAGGAGGTTGCCCCCCCGGTGCCGGGGGACGCCGTCAGGCCCAGGACCTGCGGCAGGCCCTGCTGCCCGCTAAGCTTGTGCTGGAGGTAATTCAGCATGATTTTGTTGTAGACACCCTCCTTGTGTGTGTGGTGGCACTCGTCTATCACCAGCAGCGAGAAATCTGCGTCGGGCAAGAGAGGGGAGCAGGGTGAGCCGTGGCAGAGGTTTGGCCGGAGCAGTCGCACCCCAGCCCGGCCGCGGGGACAGCAGCGCGTGGGGTCCCGCACCCACCCGTCAGCTCCACGTGCATGTCTTCCTCCCCGCTGACCAGCGCGTTCTGCAGGATCTGGGCCGTGCAGATGACGACGTCGCTCTGCTTCACCATGCAGGCGAAGAAGGACTTGTGGTGGCTGTCCCCGCTGATGGCCGTCACCTTGAAGGCGTCCTGCAGCACGTGGAACTCCTTCTTGGCGTGCTGGTCCACCAGATGCACCTGCGCCCGCGAGACCCCGCTCAGCTCCAGCCCCGGGACCACCGCCCACGAACCCGCGGCCGGTGGGCGCTGGCGCCCCGTTACCTCCGGGGCAGGGGACGGGGGCTCGGGGGGGCACCTTGTTGACCAGGACGGCCACCCTGCCGCCCCGCCGGCTCTCCAGGTGCCGCCGGCAGACGTGGACGGCCGCGCGGGTCTTGCCGGCGCCCGTGGGCAGCCAGATGATGCTGTTGCGGCCGCGCAGGGCCGGGGCCACCGCCTCCCGCTGGTACCCCCGCAGCTCCATCCCGCCGGTGCCGGTGCC